ATTAATAACTAGAGAACAGAAAAATAGAGGAAAATCAATGAAACCAAAAGTTGGTTCTTTGAATAGATCAAGAAAATTGACAAATGTTTAGCTAGACTGAGAAAATGTTTAACTAGCTAAGGCGAAAAAGAGAAAAACTCTCATTCCTAGAAAGACATAAACTACTAAAACTGACTCAAGAAGAAACTGAAAATCAGAACAGACCTATGACAAGTAAAAAGATTAAATTTGTAATTAAAAACTAACCAGAAAGAAAAGCCGTGGCAAATTCTACCAAACATTTAAAGAAGAATTAATACCAACTCTTCACAAACTTTTCAAAAAAAGATGAAGAGAGAATGCTTCCCAGCTCATTCTAAAAGTCTACTATTATTCTGATACTAAACCATGAAGACATCACAAGGAAACTACAGACCAGTATCTCTTGTAAATACAGATACAAAAACCTTTAATAAAATACTAGCAAATTAAATCCATCAACATGTGAAAATGATCATATACTATGACCTAGTGAGATTTATCCTAGGAACAAGGTTAGTTTAAACATCAGAAATATTTTTTTCCATTAGCTTATTTAAAACATCCAAAATAGAACAGAACAGAATAAAGGACAAAATAACCAGACCATAAGATGCAAAAACTCATTTGACAACATCCAACATCTGTTCATGATAAAAACTCAAACTAGGAATAGAAAGCAACTTCTTCAAACTGATAAAGAGCATTTATAAAAACCCCACAATTGACATCAGGTTTAATGAGGAAAGACTGAAATCTTTCTTCCTAAGATCAGAAACAAGACAAGGATGTCCATTCTCTTCACTTCTATTTAACATTGCACTGTAGGTTCTAGCGATGGCAAGTAGGCAAGAAAAAGAAGTAAAAGGCACCTAGGACTGGAAAGGATGAAGCAAAACTATCTCTGTCTGCAAATGACATAATATTATGTATGGAAAATCCTAAGGAATAGAATGAATAAATGAGGTCAGAAATGTTGCAGGAAACAAGATCAATATATAAATTTGAACTGTATATGTATATATAATGAACAATTGAAAAATGAAATTAGAAAACAATTCCACTTATAGTACCACCAAAAAGAAAAAAACACTTAGGAATAAATTTAATAAATATAAAACTTATACTCTGAAAACTATAAGACATTGTTGAAAGAAATCCAGGAAGACCTAAATAAATGGAAAAACATCCATGTTCATGAATTGAAAGACTGATTAAAATGGCAATAACCCCAAACTGCTCTACAGCTTGAATGCAATCCCTATAATTAACCCAATTACCTTTTCTTTGTGGAAACTGACAAGCTGATCCTAATATTCACACAGAAATGCAAGCAACCCAGAACAGCCGAAACAATTTTGAATCTAAGTTGAAGGCCTCATACTTCCTGACTTCAAAACTTACACAAAAAGCTACAAGTTAATATTCACACAGAAATGCAAGCAACCCAGAACAGCCGAAACAATTTTGAATCTAAGTTGATGGCCTCATACTTCCTGACTTCAAAACTTACACAAAAAGCTACAAGGTACACAAAAAGCTACAAGTAATCAATACAGTATTGGACTGGTCTTAGGATGGATATACAGGATCAATGGAACAGAACTAAGAGAAATAAACCCTTACATTTACAGTCAATTTAATTTTGACAAGGGTGGCAAGACAATCGATGGGGTATGAAAAATCTTTTCAACAAGTAGTACGAAAGACTTAACTTGGATCCCTTCTTTACACTACACACAAATACCAATGGATCATAAACTTAAATGTAAGGACTAAAACTATGAAACTCAGGAGATATCCCTTCACACCTACTAGGGTAGCTGTAACAAAAAAGGTAGAAGTAACAGCGTTGGCAAGGATGCAGAGAAACTGGAACCCTTGGTGCTTTGCTGGTGGGAATGTAAAATGGTACAGTCACTTTGGAAAATACTTTGGAAGTTCCTCATAATGTTAAATATGGAGTTACCACATGACCCAGCAATTCCACTCCTGTCTACCAAGAGATATAAAAACACATGTCCACACAAAATGTTGTATAAGAACGTTCACAACCAGCATTATTCACAATGGCCAGAAAGTGGAAACAAAAGAAATGTCCATCAACTGAGGAACGAATAAACAAAATGTGGTGTATCCATCCACACAATGAACTATTATTTGACAACAAAAAAACCCATTGAACTGTATGCTTTAAATGAGTGAAATGTATGGTATATAAATTATAGCTCAATAAAGATGTGAAAAGTAGAATGGAGGAACGTGTTTAACCCAGTGCTTGACAGTGCATGCAGCTTCAGTGGTGGTGATCTGTAAAAGGCACTGCCAGAGACAGAGACCCACTGCAGAAGACAGTAACGACGCCTTCTATAGGAGTGTTTAACATGTTCCATATTCAATCACAGACACGGTCTCAAAATGGAATTTTTCCAAATCAGGACATCTCGTCAGACCAGAGCCATCTCACAGAGGATCACAGCAGTCAGCGGAACAGTCACAAGGAGGGTCCTCCCACTGACACGCCCATGGCGCTCGCCAATTCAGAGCTGGCCCGGGGGGAGTTCTCCTGTGCAAGAGCTCAGTAGGGAAGAGTAGAGAAACAGGCAAGACCTCTAGGACCAGATTCTGAGAAGAACAAATAGGCAAAGGACAAAGTTTTTTGTGGGAATGGGGAATAGAAGGAACAGGCCTACACAGAGGGCAAAATGGTACCAACAGGCTGATGTGGTGGTAAAAAACAAAAAGCTACAATGTAAAGCAGGGCATTAAAAAACAGCAACACTATTTACTCCAAAATCACTCCAAGGAGGTGATGAGAGACAGAGAGGATGACCCATCCTCTGCGTCATTGAAATTTACATGAGAAGGGGAAAAAAAAAAAAA